CTGAAGCTCTCCACAGAAATCCTGAGGGGTTTTCTGGGGATACCCTTGCCCTTCCCTCCTCCACTTTAGCCCACATGTCATCTTCAGGTCTGGCTTTACATATGTGGTTTCTTTGTTGTTGGGACTATATAGATCATCATGCTGTATTGGCTCAGGTCCTTTTACCCTCTACATATCTTAGGGATTTATGTATGGCACTATTTTTGAGCCATTACATTTTTTACACAGTCATGGAAACTCTAGAGCCCTGGGCGACATCTGTCCAACAACAATCCATCCATACGAATATTGTAGCCCATTTGTCTCAGTCAGAGCCTCAAATGCCTCCTATTACCATTTCCCATCCTTCCCCTTCCCAACTCTTACCCATCCGTTCTACTCGGGATACTTCTTTTCATTGCTGTCCTTGACAATGTGCCCCCTGTTGCCGCCAGTACTGGTGACTACCCAATGGGTTTGGGATTGGTGGGAGCTTTTTAAGTTTCTTCATTGCTGGCATTCATTCATTGGCGATCAATGGATGCTTCAGGTTCTGTCAGAAGGATTCGTTATTTAGTTTCTTTCTTCACCTCCCGTGTGTCCCTCCCTCTTCCATGAGATCCCTTCACCAGCCAACATCTGTCAGAAGTGGTTTGAGAATTGTACTTGCAGCAGGCCAGTGAACCTGTTCCCCATCCTTCCCAGGGTTTTCATTCCAGCCTTTTCATCGTCCACAAGAAAACTGTGGATTGATGACCTGTAATCAATTTATCTTACCTCAACTGCTTCGTTTTACTACCCCAGTTCACCATGGAGTTTTTTCTCACCCTGAGATGGGCATTTTCTACAGGGTTATGGATGTCTCCAACACTTACTTTCATATACCAATATCATCTCAGTCTCATCCTTATCTTTGATTTGTCCATCTCGGGGTGGTCTATCAATCTTGGGTCCTCGGCACCCTACATATTTTGTCGATTAGTTCAAGCTTTTGTTCGACATCTCCATGCTCTAGATTTCATTATTACATGTACGACTGGCTTCTTCTGGGTCATTATTAACAGGAATCGGCCAATCATACTCGGCAGCTCCTTTAGGTGGCAGCTCAGGTGGGCTGGTTGATCAAACTGGAGAAGTTCTTCCTCAGACCCACTCAATATTTTGTCCATTTGGGGGTCTTTCTCAACACTCATATCAGTAGGGTCCATTCTTCTCCTGTATTAATTCATTCAATGGAACTGTTGATTTGCTACGCCCTTTCGGCTCAGTCACTTACTGCTTGCAAGGTTATATCCCTTTTGAGAATGTGGTCATCAATGACATCATTGGTCCCCCTCGATTGTGCACATATGAGATCCTTTCAATGGGCATTTCATGATCGATGTAAACTTACTTAGGATCCTCTTTCCACCCCCATTACTCTCCATTTGTTCCCATCAAGACTATCTGCTTTGGTGGTTGAACAAAGTCATGGATGCACCTCTTCAGGAATGGGGGACATGGGTCAATCACCAGGAAGCTTTGGGCCATTGGTCTGCGGACGAAAGCACTTTGCATATTAATCTTCTCGGACTTCTAGCCATATGTAAGGCATTGCATCACTTTCTTCTTCTCACCCATCATTGTCTGGTGATGGTTCATTCAGACAATTCTATGGTGGTGGCACATATCAACCACAAAGGGGGCATGTGGTCCAGAGATCTCTGTTTTTGGACATTGGGTCTCATATACTGGGCCCACACACATCACATTCATCTTATTGCATGTCATGTGCCGGGTGTTTTCAATCTGGTCATGGATTATCTTTCATGCTCCGACTGAATATATCCCATAGAATGGTCATTAGATCCCCTCATTTTCAGGGATCTTTGTGATTGATGGGGTTCTCCCCACATGGGTGTCTTTGCTACAGGCCTCAACAACAAGTTACCTCTCTTTTTGTCACCTGTATCTCATCCACAGGCTCTGGCAGTCAATGCACGGAGCCCATGGATGAGTCACATAAATATCTTTATGTGTACCCACCCATCTGATTATTTTATCGCATGATTTCTCTCATCCATGCCACTCCTTGTCATGTTCTCCTGATTGCTTCTTATTGGCCAGCTCAGCCTTAATTTCCATGGTTAAAGTGACTGCTTCCCTCTCCTCATTTTCCTCTTTGACTTTTTCCCTACCTTCTTCATCAACCTCAGTCACATGTTTTACATCCCAACCTTCATATCCTGCGTCTTCATGTCTGACTTTTGTCTGGTCCTTGGCGAGAATATTCGGTTTCACATGTCAAGTCTTTTCTTTGTTAACTGGCTCCATCTTCCATGGAGGTATACCACTGCAAGTGGAAGGGATTCTGTCCTTGGTTTACAACCAGGGAGTTTCCAGCTGACTGGCCTACTGTGGCTCATGTTGTGGAATTTCTCACCTGGATCTTTGACTGTGGGTCTTTGTTCTTCTCACTTTTGTGATATCAGGCATCCTTATCCCATACCTTTAATTTTTCCTGACATCGTGGAGTTTTTACTTTTCCTGTCCTTACGATACTCATGCATTCCTTCCGGATACATTGCCCTCCAAGGCGACCTTCCTTCCGGATTGGGATATTAATGTAATCCTCCATTCCCCTTACTTTACCTTTGATGGAACCATTTTCCTCATGTTTCATGTTTCATCATTCCCTTAAAATATGTGTCCTTCTTCTCTTAGCTTGTGGATCTCAAAGACCTGATTTGTTTGCCATTGACATTTCATGTACCCTTTATCACCCTACCTATGTTCTCCTTTATCCAGATTGTTCTTTTCTCCCGAAGACCTCGGCAGCTTGTGAGGGTGATTCCTCCTTTTCTCCCATTTCCCTTCCTTCCATTACCCATCTTTACCCTTGACCGGATCTGGATAGGCTTCTGTGCCCAGTCAGGGCTTTTTGTTGTTATATTGCCCATACTGCTTCCTTTCAGGGTTCATGTTCCCATCTCTTTATCCCCTGGCAATCCTCCTCCCTTCGTGATATTTTACCTTCTACCCTTACCAGTTGAGTCCTTCTTTTGGTTCAAGTGGCCTATTCCTCCCAGAATTTGTTCCAGGTGTTTTCCTATTAGATCTGACACCTCACCTTTTCCCTTTCTTCTTGTCTTTGTTTTCCAATGGAAGAGATTCTCCAGTGCGGCATGTGGACTACACCAAGTGTTTATCTCACACTATTTCCATCATATCTCAGTTTCCTCTTCATTGGGGTTTTGTCTACCATCTGTGGCCATTATTCAGACTTTGGTGCAACTCTAACTGGTAAGTTTTTATTTGTACTTTCCTTTCTTATCAGGGGCCTTTCTCTAATTCTTTACATCATGGATTCTGCTCTGTGGTGAATGGTGCCTCACAGGTGTACTTTAACTCAAAATCTACACTGTTGACTCGTGATTTATTTTTTATGGCTTTGCACGCTCACCATTGAGATGGGGTGTTCCACAATATATCTTCTTGGTGCAAGACCTCGTGATATTTTGCTTTGTAGACATACCTGTCCCGGACCATATCACCCATAGACTACACGAGTAAAGCAGAAGGGGATTGTTGCTCATCCTTGCCATGCCTGGAGTGAATAACTTGGTATGGTCTGCCTTTCAAAATATGGTTTTGTGGTCACCCATTGCACTGTATCAGGTGATAACGTTCCTCCAGACTCTCCACCGCATTGTCACCCTCCTTTATTCAAGTGGAGTATGGGAGTCCTTACCACTCCACTTCCAAGCTGCTGGTGTGGTGGACCATGGAGGCACCTTCTACACAATAACCATTCAGTTACAGAGTAGGGCAGTGGTGTTCTGCAGGTGTAGATGACGTGATATCCTCCTGTTTGGGATAATCAATGAGAAAGGAATGTTTTGAAATAGTACCATAATCTCATTTACACTAATGTACAGTGTTCTGAAGTAATACTGTAATCTATATTGTACTAAGGTACATTGTTCTGAAATAGTACCATAATCTTCTTTAACATACAGTGTTCTGAAATAGTATCATAATTTCCTTTACTTTAACTAAGGTACAGTGTTCTGAAATAGTACCATAATCTCATTTACACTAAGGTACAGTGTTCTGAAATAGTACCGTAATTTCCTTCACATTAACATGTAATGTGCTGAAACAGTACCATAATTTCTTCCACAGTGAGATGTGAAACTAGTATCAATATTTTCATATCAGGAAAAAAATTAAAAGATTGTTTGAAAAGGAAGTTAACCATATGTAATTCTGTATTTTAAATACATTGTTTAGTTTAAACTGAGCAGTTTGATATCACGTTTTCACATTAAACTCTTATCAGGTATTTCTCGTATTGATTATGCTCTGTTCATCATGTTGGTTATGCTCTGTTCATCAAAACAAGATGAGTAGAGCATAACAAACAAAATTAATAGGTTGTAATCAATAGGATTAACAAAGAATAACCAACAAGATGAACAGAGCATAACCAACAGTCATAACCAGAGCCACAAGCATTCTTCCCAATCAGGCCAGCCTCATAAGCTTCCCGAATAGCAATCTGCATGTTAGATGCTTCATTATAGAACTCCCCACGGATGTAAATGTAAGCTGCATAAACAACAAGATGAACGGAACATAATAAACAAGATGAGTAGAGCATAACATACAAAATTAATAGGATTAACAATGAATAACCAACAAGATGAACAGAGCATAACCAAGAAGAAGAACAGAGCATAATCAACAAGAAGAACAGAGCATAACCAATACAAGAAGAACAGAGCATAACAAACAAGAATAACAGAGCATAACCAACAAAATTAATAGGATTAACAATGAATAACCAACAAGATGAACAGAGCATAACAAACAAAATTAATAGGATCAATATTAATCAATAGGATTAACAATGAATAACCAACAAGATGAACAGAGCATAACCAACAAGATGAACGGAACATAATAAACAAGATGAGTAGAGCATAACAAACAAAATTAATAGGATCAAAATTAATCAATAGGATTAACAATGAATAACCTTCGATGTTTTCATGCACCGAGGAGCTGGAGCATACATATGTGGAGAAGAAACAGTAAGATATGATCACAGAATAATCTATTGTAACTCAGTCACAGTTTGTTTCCCCTAAACTTGTAACACAGTAACTGATTTAGCAATATATGTGTCAGGTTTTTTTAAAACTGCAAGAAAAGTATAAAAAGCCATTTAACAGATTTTTAAACATTATATTTTCAACACCATCCATTTGCCGTTTGTGTGAAATTAAGTTTTAATTTTACTGATTTGAAATATACTTTGCTTTTCCCATTCTATAGATAAATGGATTTTTTAGGTGAAAGAATCTTTTATTGTGAAATAGCCCTATTTTTACATTAAAATACGGAAGGAATAATTAGTTTGTTTCAATATTTGATCAGATATAGGTGTGGTTTTCTATCACAGCTAAGAATTGTTTGTTGCAGGCCTTGATTGAATCTCTTGAAGGCAAGCAAGGAAAACCTCGTTTGAAGCCTCCATTTCCTGCTGATGTGGGTGTATTTGGATGTCCTACAACTGTCTCAAATGTTGAGACCGTTGCTGTGGCTCCTGCTATATGTCGCCGTGGAGGAGATTGGTTTGCTTCATTTGGTCGACCTCGAAATACTGGAACTAAGGTAAAAAATATATCATTTTACGGTTAATTCTGTATGACACATGATACTGATACGACATTAGTGTTATGTCAATGTATTAGAAGACAAGAGACACAACCTCAGTATTATATCAGTCTATTAAGAAGGTAGAGATACAACATCAGTTTTGTGTTGGTATATTAGAAGGTAGAGATACAACACCAGTGTTGTGTTGGTATATTAGAAGGTAGAGATACAATACCAGTGTTGTGTTGGATATATTAGAAGGTAGAGATACAATACCAGTGTTGTGTTGGTATATTAGAAGGTAGAGATACAATACCAGTGTTGTGTTGGTATATTAGAAGGTAGAGATACAACACCAGTGTTGTGTTGGTATATTAATTGGTAGAGATACAACACCAGTCTTGTGTTGATATATTAGTAGGTAGAGATACAACACCAGTCTTGTGTTGGTAT